GCACTCTTTACAAAGTTCTGGAGGATCCATGCTGTCATCAACAAGTGCCCGAAGAAGATCCTCAGGATCAGATGGACAGACAGAGTCACCAATGAGGAAGTAATGACCAGAAAATTTTCAGACAGAAGAAAGCAGTGGAGATGGATTGGACTGAGCATACCATTTGGAAATCAGGCAGCTATATAACAAAAACGTTTTAATTTTGAGTCAACAGCTTAAACGATCAAGGAAAAACCATGTGGAACCTGTAGAAAAGTCGCAGAGAATGATGAACAGAAAAGTGGAAAGACATTTGAAAAATATGAAGAAGTTAGCCCAGGGTAGGGAATAGTTGAAAGAGTTTGTCCGTACGGGGTGAGCCAGGTGATGATGAAACTGGCATGGGCTCCTCTAGAGCAGTTTACAATGGGTGAGCCCGGTCATAGATATACATCCTGCAAACTTTGATCTTCTGGTCATTCTGTTTCAGATAATAAACCCAAGATTGCATCTTTCATCTTGGTGTATTGCCTTTGCTTGAATTGTACTTTTTTGTGTTGAGTATACCGTTTACATAGGACCTTCTGTCTCCCCGTGTCAAAGTCCAAACAAAGACAAAGATAGTTGTTCAGATAGTTGTTCTGGCGTTGTCTTTTAATAGTGAGTAGTCCATTGATTTAGTTGAGCAATCACATCTGGGTTTCAGTTCAACAGTTTTTCAAAATCGTCCTATCTCTTGATTTGCATTGCTTATTGCTGTCCCTCCCCCCCCCCTCTCTCTCTCTATATATATATCTCTCTTCCTCTCCTACTCTCTCGGAGGTTAAAAAAGCACCTTTGATCTGCTCCAATGCATCGTGTACTTTGAATGATACTTTTTCTTCATTGAAGTCTGGTTCTTCTACTATTTCCGTGCTGTATTTTCAGTAGATTTCTTTGACGCACAAAATGGTTCACATTGCTCGGCTTCTCAAAATTCCTGTTCTTGTTAGGGAACTCTGAAGTCAAATCAAAGAGCTTTCAATGTCAAACAAGTTTGGGTTGTGATACAACACGGAAATACTATACTTGTAATTTATACTTGACTACGTCAATTTTTAGATTTTAAAAATTTATTTATTGCTAACGATCAAAATTGTATAACCAATACTAGAAGGGCACACACATTGCACATTCGAATTTGAGAGTCATTGTGAACAATACCCGTCTTGCATCTAGGAAATACACATTTTAATTATGTGATAGAGAGGTTTTCCCGCAAAACGAATACAGTCAACATCATAATTTATAATCTTTGGCCTGGAAACCCTGAATACTGACTGACAATTATGTTTGCTCAACGCAGTCGCTCATATTTCAATGGTCTAAAGAGGCGTTCACGGCGCCAACGGTCAGCCTCGCGAGTCATAAACCGACTGATGAGATCTTGAATTCCACACAGGTGTGGGATTCACGTTTTCATCAGGCGACTTTTGGGGCACAGCGTTTATTCACGATTTTCTTTTTACGTCAGATTACACATTTGAGTTGAGATAATTGAAAAATTCTTTTACAGGGACGTGTAACTCACCGAGCGCTATCAAAAAATGCAAAAAAAACGATTTTCGAAAATTTGTGGAATTCACGGTTTTATCAGGTGACCGACGACTGCTACTTTTAAGTTGTCTGCATTCTATATAAAATTACAAATACTGAAATTTCTTACAGATAAAGGTGCCTTTTTTGCAGTTCGTATTTCTTAGATATTGATGGGCATGATGGTGTACTCTAAAGATTGTATAAGCTTCATATTTACTCATGTATGTAATGTTCAGTCATAGCCAACTTCAGCGTCGCCCTTTTGTTTTGAAATTTAAAAAAAAACCCCAAAACTTTCTTGATTACAATTCGTCTTCAGTTTTTGTTTGCCTTTTGTACTGCTGAGTTTGCGTACTGGCTTTTCGTGCCACACGTTAAAATATGCGGGGGTCTTCATAAATATTCTCTCACGTCGAAACCAAAACTATTCCAGGACGCATGAGATAAATCCAGGAAGGCTAATTTTTAGGCTCTCGGACTCGCAACCGTAAGGTCGTGGGTTCGAATCCCGTCAAGGGCCCGACGTTGTGTCCTTGGGAAAGGCACTTTATACGAATTTTCCTCACTTCACCCACGTGGGAATGGGTACCCGGCTATAGAC